GCCGTTTGAAAAGTTGGATTTTTGACGTCATCCATCGCGGTACTGACACCCTTGGTTTCTTCCACTTTGCTTTCATCTAAGTTTCATGCTGAGAAACCAGTGCGTCACTGACTGATGAAAGCAAGGTGGAGGAAACCACAGGTGTCACTACCGCGATGGATGACGTCAAAACCTGACTTTTCAAAAGGGCGATTATATCGATCGGTTAACATTGAACATGGAAAGTTGCTGTTTGGACGGATCTTATTCATTTTCGCTGTTCTACAAGAATCAAGCATCAAAACACGATTCTGTGACCAGCGCAACTGACCCATTTGAGCTAATACTGTTTTCAGTCACAGGGGTACGGTTCGTGGTTTACCTTTTATTGTACTGCATACTAAGCATAATAAGCAGATGCTTTAACGTGTAGTTGCGATTGCTGCAGATAATTATTTGATAAAAAGTGACTACGCATAAGAAACACCTTCATTGAAAAAAGATGTACTTCCTTGAATGGTTCAGGGTTATAGGTAATATAACCGCGTTTGACAGAGAAGAACCATGCCACATCAGCTGTTGCTAATTATTGGGCAGTTTAATTTTTTACATGAAAACAATTGTGCCCAGATTTTCTTGCAAATTTCAGTGATTTCCCTCCACATAGAAGGCGAAGCAAACTTGAAATTTTCAAAGGAATCCGCACTAAGGTTCTCTCGTAACAAATTAAAATGCCCATTTAAACTTGGCAATAGCTGATTACGGTGGTCCTTATTTTGGACTTTTGAAAAATTCTACGGTCGGAACCGTGCAATTGGTTCCAATTTACGTAAAAATATAAGGGGAAAAAAAATTAAACTTTTTCTGGGGGGGGGGGGGTAAAGAATATTTAATACCCATGACGCAATGGCACCCAAGTTGAGGCCCGCGAAAATACGTCTTTCAGCAAATTAGGCTTTTACGATATTTCGCCCTTAACTTTGGGCACGCATTATTGCATGTAGACGAATGCTTTACGACTTTAAAGATTGAACCTAATCTTCTGCTATCGAATACTAAAAATCATGGAGAATTTAAGTTTTATGTTGACCAGCTTCTCGAAAGAAAAATAAAATTTCTAACGAAGTCTGCAACGTCGCAAATGCAGAGGCGTCTCCCATTATACCCAAAAATATCTATGAATAAAATTGAAGGCATTTTGAGTGGCCTCTCTCAACTTATATTCGTCTGTAACGATCAACAATGGGACGCGTTCGCTACGGCGCCTTGATACAACTATACCACCTCGACGGATGTCCGTATTGCGTTCAAAAAATTGAAGGCGTTTTGACTCCCTGCTCATACCATACTACCTGTAGTTGATTCGATCGACAAACGCGTTGGTCGGCGGTGACGAGGACTTGATGCAACTATTTAAGCTTGTTGGATGTCCGTATCGGTCCGACTGAAGTGCGAAACCAAGTATCTCCATTGCGGTAATTCAAAATTTCCGTTCTTAATTCATCTCTTCCATGAGGAACCATCCAAATTTACGACTTTAAAGATTGAACCGAATCTTCTGCTATCGAATACGAAAAATCATGGAGAAATTATGTTTTATGTTGACCAGTTTCTCGGAAGAAAAATAAAATTTCTAACGAAGTCTGCAACGTCGCAAATGCAGAAACGTCGTCTCCCATTATGCCCGAAAATATGTATGAATAAATTTGAAGGCATTATGACTGGCCTCTCTCAACTTATATTCGTCTGTAACGATCAACAATGGGACGCGTTCGCTACGGCGCCTTGATACAACTATACCACCTCGACGGATGTCCGTATTGCGTTCAAAAAATTGAAGGCGTTTTGACTCCCTGCTCATACCAAACTACCTGTAGTTGATTCGATCGACAAACGCGTTGGTCGGCGGTGACGGGGACTTGATGCAACTATTTAAGCTTGTTGGATGTCCGTATCGGTCCGACTGAAGTGCGAAACCACGTATTTCCATTGCGGTAATTCAAAATTTCCGTTCTTAATTCATCTCTTCCATGAGAAACAATCCAAATTTACGACTTTAAATTTTGAACCAAATCTTCTGGGGTCAAAATATGGTACGATAAATTTAATTTTTTTACCCAAGAATCTAATTGGTCTGATGTGTAATTGCTGAAATTTTGGTTCATTTTCATCGAAAAATGCGGGAGATATGAAATAAAACGTGAAAATACCCCAAAATTCCCCGAAAATGGGTTTTTCGGGGCTTGAGGGGGGATGGTTGGGGTCAAGAGGTAAAAATTGCCCAAAACCATGTTTTTAGGACCTCCTAAAAGGGTTTAGATCATTAAATTCAAAATCCGTGAGGAGGGGCATTTTGGTGCCCTTACCCAGGGATACCCTTTGCACTAGTACATATATTTCAGTGTTCTTTCACGTAAAATCATCAAATTTGGGTTAAAATCTGTGCAGAAGCATGTTTCAAACCCTCAAAGTTACGGAAAAAACACGATTTTGCGGGCCCTAATCGAGAGTTACGTTTATAGGCAGTGTCTACTGAAACATGATGAATATTCATCATGTTTCAGGATGATTGTCATTCTTAATATGTTAGAATTGTTAGAGCGCCTTTAATTTTGTATGACACTATGCAACACCTCTGTTGTGAAATACTTCCTTGAGGCGCCGCGGTGGGCGGCGAGAGCGACCAGCGCGGAACTCGCACTAGCGCCTACAAACCTAACAGGGATACTTCACGCATTGCGCACTAGCGCCTACAAACCTAACAGGGATACTTCACGCATTGCGCAATGCGTGAAGTATCCCTGTTAGGTTTGTAGGCGCTAGTGCGCGTTCCGTGGCTCAACCGGCTCCCTCTCATTGCCCACTGGAATCCGGGTCGGACCCATGCATTCACAATATTGTCCCGAGAAATACGCTGGAAAAATCCGTTCATTAATTTTCCTTTGCAATTGATTTTTAATTTCGGACCTTTTTAGATTAGGAAGAGGCTAATGTTGGATGTGAGAAGTTGGGTTAGTGTGGGTACTTTCAGTATTTTTCTGTCCAGACCTCGTCCATGCCACTATATGTACTCCTTCTCCCGAATTGAATAAAGATTATTTGGAAAAGAAAAGGACGAATTTTTCTTAAGCATTCCTCGTGAGGAACCCATGATTATTAAAAAAGATATTATCTTCCCTCGAGGGAAGTAGCTGCTTTGAAAACTTGCTCATTCCTAAAGTGTCTATTTACTTAATTAGGTGCTTGCTTAACATTAAGTCCAAAATAGTATTTTTGAAATTGCAAATACTCAAATCCAATTTTACCATATACCAGGAAAGAAATCTTAAACTTGGAAAAACAAGAGAAGAAACCCTCAGAATGCTTCACGGACAGTAAAAATAGATAAAATTCTTCTTTTTTTTTTTTAAATGAAAATTCCTTACCTGGTGTATATTTAAAAGTTTACTGAAATGCTTACGATTTGAAAAATACTATTTTGGACTTTTAAGTCCACTTGATTGACTTTAGTCAATCGATCATATAAATGAAAAACAGACAATCAGGGGTCATCAAGTTTCCCAAATGGCTAATTGATGTCATGCTTTTTTACTGGGTATACATATTATCTGATTATATTTGAAATTCATTGTATGCAATGCGAAAAAGGTACTATTTTGGATTTCGAGTCCAGCAGTTGTGTAAGCGAAAAAGTAGGTAGACAATCAGGGAGCAGCAAATTTCTGTGATACATTTCAGTCACGTTTTGATACCATACAATTATCTTGGGGACTTATTTTGATAGCACTTGCAGAAAAAAGGGGAGCATTACTTAAATGTAAAACCTCTTCCACAGACTCAAACAATCAAACCCATATCACACTATCTTTTCTAAGCTGTTTCTTGACCTCTAGCATTTCAAGTTATTGTGAAAGTTAGAATCATGTGGGACTAAAATGACTTATGATCTACAAATCTGGAGAGGGGTGAACGATATAAATAGTGATTCATGCATATTCTTTTCTTGAAATTTTCAGATATTTTAGGTTAAATTGGGTACACAATTTTCCTAGTAATTTCGGTTTTTATCGGAGGAACGTCTGAAGGCTCAAACGACGTTCTTTCTTAGCATGGCAGATAACTTCTGCAGATTAAAGAAGACAACTCTGACTTGGAATATGATTATAGAAGTGTCATAAACTATAGCAAAGAAGCTTTCTTCAGGAATAAAGAGGACACGATTGCTTCGCATGTAAGCAGCTGCTGTGAGTTCAATCACCGAACGGACAGATCTAATTTTCATGGGATATTTAGGGTGTTGGTTGTACAGCTGTCCACAGCAAAAATGCTATAACTCCACTCCAAATGTTGTACTTTTCTTCCACACATACTGTCCTATTACAAGAAAACCTAATTGCCAGAAGACTTCATTTACTCATATTGAGTTCCTAATAGTATGACATAGTCAACTCAAAAAAAATTGATAATGAATATTTGTTCATCCTTGTGAAACAGTATTTTGTCAGAATATGATTGAATAAATGTTGAATGGAGTTGCCTACCACGTTTTTACTTTACACAGCAACATAGGAGGGGTATATGACATTCTCATCCCCAAAAAAACACATTAGCATCACAATGTCGACGAATAGCATCTTCAAATCGACAATCGATGTAGAAATTGTGTTTACTGTGGACAGAGGTACACTTTTATTTTTTCATTCTTTTGGTTCATCCAGCTTTCTGTATGGAGTCTTTCCTACATTTTCCAGAATCATCTTCAATAAACTCGTTTTTTACTTTTCAGAAACCGGATGTGAAGTTTGATGATGCGAAAGGTTTCAGAGAGAAAGTAATTCTTAAAATTCAAAGACTGCACTCATGTGACCAAATTTGAATTATAAACTGCTGAATGTAACAGCAAAAAATTAAGTGTCTCAGACTTTTGTAAGAGATAAAAGGAGGTAAGTTGTTAAACAAATGGGCAAGTTTTTATTTTACTAATCTTCTTTTAGTCCATACAATAAAAAGAGAATCAGAACTAGAATTAGAAAGTATATATTAGCAACAAAATCATTAGAATCACTTAACTCCAATGAATTTTTTGGCAGCATAGCCAGGGAAGGAGTAGATAAAAAGTACAACAAAATAGACAAGAGCAAAAAAAGTGACGACTAATTTATGACGCCAAATAAAAGGAATTATTACATACTCGAACACGCTGAAAATTCCAGTAATCCAATTCCAGGCTATCTCTGGTCGGCTGGAAAAGAACAAAATTTCAAAAGGAAGTTAATACGGCGAGGATTTGTGGATCCATGGACAAGAATAGAGAGGATAATTCCATGAATATAGATACAGCTTAATTCATGGTACATAAAAAACAAGTTTCTATACAAATAGAATTCTCATAAATCTTTACCTTTGCTACCCCCACCAGTCACATGTGAACATGCAAGAGAAAAGGAGCCTTTATGGAAAAAATTAAATTGCTGATTTAACAATTCAATTTCTAAAAAAAAAAGTGACAGCAATGTTTCATTGAAGATTTTACAACAAAAAAATGCTACAATAACCACCCCCGTGGTTAAATTAGCTTACAATAGTGGTTAAAAGAATTTTTCTTTTTTTTTTTGTGAAATCTACGTTGAATTATTGCAGTTACTTTTTTTAGCAATTGAATTGTTAAATCAGCAATTTAATTTCCGTGAACTCGAAATTAAGATTCTGAACTGTCTGCATAATGCAGTGTTTTTAGAGGATTTGTCCCTCCCCCCTCCCAAAAAAAATTGGAATAAACCTATGGACTAATGAATACTCACTCAGGATATGGTAAAGCATTTGGCTCATCATGGCCCCTTCCTGCTGGATTCTTTTTGGCCTCCTGCATAGTCAGCAGCTCGATTTCTGCCTCAAGCATGCCCTGAAAATGCACAACATCTAAATGTATTCACTTTTTTTCTATTTCTTTAAATCAATATAGGAACTAATTAATAACAGATATTTAAGAAATTATCCATTCGCAACATTTTAGAGGCGTTCAGTGGATCACAAGACAAGGTATCAATTTGAACGATCCGTTATGTATGATTTTTATTCACAGTTTCATGTAAAACATAGGACAATAATTACTCATATTAGCTCCAGACCAAGATATTAACATTTATATTTAGCACTAGCTGCGCAAAGTTTGAATTTCCCACTCGTGAGAAAAACTTGAGTCTAAAGTTAAATGGTCTCAGAGTAGAGGAAAGAGAGATTCTTGATTTTTAACACAAAATCTCTAGGATACTACACCAAGTCTCTGGAATATTCCCTAATTTTTTAAGGGCAGTTTTCTCTTTAATGAGTACCAGTGCTCCCTAACTCTCCAAGTCCTAGACACCATGCAAAAGATCTTGGTATTGAACACCAAAGAGAAATTAAAAGTTGGGTAATCCCTTTCAATTGAGACACATGCCAGAAAATAGACAGTTGTATAATTTACCGTTATTATCCTGTTACTTCTATTTTTTGTGCTCGTATCTGTGAGCGGCCACCATCCACGGACTCTTCTTTCTAAGAAAAGATTAATGGTTGGTGCTTCATGATCCAGCATCTTGAGATTGACGTTGCGGTGAGCATTGGCTGGTTTTGGCATTTTCAGGAGGTCTAAAATTATTTTTCCTGAAAGCATCAGAGTAAAACAATGTGGTTTTAGGTAGTGGTGTCGGAGTACGTATAAGACTTAAATATTAGGGGGCACGTACTTTTGAGCCTTAAAAAAAAAATATGTACTTAAAATGTATCATAGTTGCAGGACTCAGCAAACGCCTCAATAATATCAATTTAACATTAGACAAAAAAAAAAAACTTGTGCAATGGTTTAAAAATTGAAATCCGCCAGCTGCTTTGAGGATCGTGTTCTTGGTTCTAGATGAAAATATTCGACTGCTAAAGAAACGGAATTCTGATATTAACAGTCAAAATTTCAACTAAAGAAGGTTTTTTTTGCGATCTATTAGTTTTATCTGACATATTTTGCTACTTGTGATATATGAAGTGCCGAGGATCAAAAGCTGCTACCTTTATTTCTGTCACAAAATTTGGCGGTTGCATTAATTTTTCAAAGGAATCAACGAAATGATTTTTTATGTAACACACTCTCCTAATCTTTTTGCGGAGCATGATAGGTTCTGTGCGTAAAAATGTATACCTATAAAATCATCGCTTAAAATTTTGTCGCTATCCCAAACTTGGAGATGCAATCTTGGTGGTATTTTGCGCAGCTCTGAGCCGAACATTGTATCTTCGTAAGTGTAGATCATTTTTTCTGCTGCTTGCCAGTGAAAATCAAAAATGAAACGCCAGTTAAAGTTGCCTTCTCCCGTCAAAGAATAGTAGTGAATGTCGGTCTTTTGCGTGTCACCTTTCCCAGTTAGCCACCTGAAATGAGCAATGGTAGTTAAATATTAAATTAACTCCTCACTAATGGAAAATAGGCCCAATAGTGAATTGCGTTGCACTGTTTTAGGATGTAAAATTTTAAATGAAGAGACCAAAAGGACACATTTTAAGAATTTCAGTCCCTGAAATATTTTAAGCGCATCCATGTGAAATTCAAGCAGAATGGGGCAGAGATGAGGAATTTTTGCAGGGTTGTTATGTGATTTCATTTACGTAAAATTTTTTAAAGAAGCCTGTTCCTAAGCCTATTTAAAAGTTCAAAAATCATTTCTAACGAGAGATAAAGTTGATCAAAATCTGAATAATCAGCCGAGATGACATAGCAAAGCAACATTGGCAGCTAAGTTCAGCCATTCAGCAAACGCTGTTTTCCAGCTTGGTTAAGTCATCAGAGCCCGCCAAAAATATCGTTTTACACTGCTCCCATTTTTGCGGTTTCAAAACGGGGTTTCTTTGCCTATTAGGGTTTGAAAAAATCTTAGGGGACTCTTTTAAAAAGTTTGTTTTAAAAATTAATTGAAAATCGGTGTGATACAATTTTAAGGCTATAAATGCTTCTTACAAAATGTAATTGTTGTTTGAGTTTTTTATTTTTGATGACCTTCTCCCTTAAGGTTAAAGAGCATTTTTCAAAAAAAGTATCAGTCTTACATTAAATTGGTTTCTTACTCCTACCGGTGGGTATGTGATAGAGGTTAAAATCCGACTACATTTTGCAATTCGGAACATACTATTTCAGGCATACTTCAGGAACAACACATGTACTATCAGTTTTCCTACAGAGATAGGTGCTTTTGTGGGTGAGCCGGAAATAGTGGTTCCTTATTGAAAAATGTAGTCCAATTCTAACACGCCAAAATTCTTTAACATGAATATTGAGAGAAAAATTCACTAGTAAAATAAATGATACATAGTCAAGAACATATTGTAAAGTAGGTGCAAAACAGCCTGTGAGACTTGGCTAGAGGACAATACAGATAAAAACGAAAAGGAAATACCCTTGGACATAGAGATCTGAGTGTTTGTCGCTGAAAATTGCCTCGTCTTTCAGAGCGCAATTGGCTGTGTTCAGAATTGAAACTCGTAGCTGCATTTCTATTGGCTTTCTTGGCTCGATTTTTACGATTGGTTTGAGAACTCCACCTGGCTCTTTTGGGAATATATCAACCCACATTTCCAATTCACCCTTCAAAAAAGGAGGAAAATTGATGGGTCTATTTATATACACGACAACAATACTAGCTATATATATATTTTTAATCTGTATCCTTAACCATCCTTCGGAAAAAGGACCATAATAAAAAGAGGAATAATGTCCAGGACAGCAATTTTTGCTAAGTGGTCTTGAAAAAGCAGAATTTGAGTTGTAGAAAGAAAGCATTTCTCTGTATTCTACAGAATGAATTGCAAGCAGTTAAGCTCAATTGTGTGGAAATAGATGGTGTTCTGTTGTATATTAATGAAATATATCGATTACGAGTATTTCCCTTATAAATTAGGGTCATATTTAGGAAAATGTCAGATTTCTGAGAGATAGAACGATTCCAAACTTAGCAATTAAATTTAAATTATACAAAATTCCATTTGGTTCACTTACCTGTGCAACACCAGGTTTGTCTCGTCGATATAATGATCGTGTTTCAACGTGCTCTGGAACTAAACAATAACCGATGTATGGTAACTCATGCCAACGCCGCAAAACAGATAATGCAAGGTTTTCTTTGATATCTGTTGATAAGAGAAAAAAAATTGAAAACAATGCTCATTTAAAGTGACAAAAATAGAATATACCTAAGTGACCATTTGTGGGAGAAAAAATATTCAAAAAGCAATTTTTGTTACATTGGGTAAAAAAAAAATGATTATTAAATTTTCAGCAAAATGCTCTCTGTTAAAAATACCTAAAGGCAAAAGAGGGGTAGTTTGGTTGACTTGCTTGCCATTAGAGAGCAGAAAATTACACTTTAATTTGTGAAATTCGGTCTCTGAGCAAGACACATTGAAACTTTAAATTGTATTTTCCCAAAACTCTTTTCTGTCAAATTCAAAATGTCAAAACTCTAGTTTAGTTTACATATTTGGGTTTTTTATAGGATTGCCACAGATTTTTCTGCTCTATTTGCAGAATATCGTGTTTAAAATTCAAGCTATAAATTATCCCCTTCAAAAAAGGAAAATAGGTGCAAAAATGTTTAAGGGCCACGGTGGAAATATGAGATTTTGCACTTTAACCATCAATATTTTGCTAGCTTTAATTCTAAAAATCTGACGATAAATTTACCTTCAGGTTTGTCACTTTCAACCCTCGTCAAATGAAATCTTTTGGAATTAATTATGACCGATGAATAATAGTAAGTGGGCCCACGAGCTTGATGTCTATTGCAAAGTAGCTGCAAAATCTCCGTAGGTTTCATCGTGTCTCTCCATTGGAAAGGACCGCTCCTGCAAGATGAAAAAACCACATCTCAGGAGTAAAAAAACCAAAACTAAGATTGAAGGTTTTAGTGAGAGAGGTAAAAAATTAAAATTTTGGACTTAAATCTGTCTATAATTTTGGGAATACAAAGATGTGCGAAGAACTTGTAAAAATAAGTGACGAATGGTACTTACGAATAGTATTTTTGTGAAAGACCGCAATGTCCACGATATCTGCTGTAATACCTTTCCTCTAAATCTAGAGTTGTTTCACCAATTGTGTCGTCAGGTTTGAATTTATCGAAATCCATGAGCTCCACTGTCAAAGAATTATCTCTTGGAAACTTTGCCTCGATCTCAAAACATCTGTAACATGAATAAAAGCAACCATTTTGAAGCTGTATACCATGATTTTTGAGATGTATTTTGCATGCAATGAAAAGAAAATAATGTATGTAATAATAGAATGAAGTGCAAAGAATGAAGAATTTGACCAAAAATATACTGAGAAGATATACTAGTAAAAGAGGGGGAAAGGGATTCAACGTTATTGACTAATTTACGTTCAGGGTAAAAAGATCTTCCATCTAAGTGATAAAATTTGGAGCCTACTTGGCAGAGATTTACGACTAAAGGTGAAAACAAAAAATGCTTAACCAAACAATTTACAAATGACATAATAGGTTTAAAATAAAAATAACAGAAATACTGGAATGAAAAAGTCAATATGACATACTATCAGATCAAAATAAATTAACAAAAGAGATTTCCATGGCCAAGGAAAAGTTTTTGCTAGATCAAATAGTCAAAATAATTGCAGAATTTTTTATTGGCCTGCGCATTGTAATGATAAGCAGAAACTGCTACTCTGTCAATGAAAATATTTTTTAGAAAAAAACAAAAAAGACCAATATTTTAAGAGCCATACTTGCCAAAAATTGGATGAAGATCTGAAGGGACGTATTCATTCCGATTTGATGCAACTTTCCGATTCCCCAGGCGAATGTTGACATAGGGGTCAGCCTTCAGTTCCCAATCATGTGAGTGGAGGTTATAAGCTCTAACGATGTACACCCGTACCACTACTGGTTGTTTCATGCTTCTTGGATAATGGCGCAAAAACCCTAAAGAGGCATCATCTCCATGTGTCGTTACAAAATGGTTTTCTGGGACAGGGGGTGAAATAACGATGGCACCCTGTTTAGATGGAAAAAAATTTCTGCTACTTAAAGATTCAGGTTGTGTTGAGACAATATCAAGAAGAATAATACTCCTGAAATGAGATTCATGACCATCCTTGAGCCCTGGATGTCGGTGATTTTTCCTGACTGATGTTGAGCTGGCATTCGATGTCAAGCATTGATAACATGTTATCTTATGGTCGAACCAGAGAGGGTAGGAAGGGACACTGGAACAGCTCTATTTATAACTTCACAATCATTTGAACCAAAAATTTGTCAAAATGAAAACAAGATCTGTCTTTACAAAACAAATTGTCTTTCCTGTATCGAATGCAATATTATTTTTGTAGAAGAACTTCTTTGGTGGTTCTTTGAATTTGTAATTATTTTGTGATGCATATGATTTTCAAGACACAAGTGTAGGGGACTACTGATTTTTTCACATACCACTCAAATTTCACTCAGAAATTTGTTTTGTGTCATTGAAATTAACAACTGACCATGAGATTAAATACTTAAAATCCAAGTTTCCTTAGTTGGCAAAACTTACTTTAAGCTTCCTGATTCATGCTTGTACAGACTTCCAGAAAAGGAAAAGACGAATTTTCACGATCTCAAACATGAAATGAGATGCTTTAAGCGTCCTTTGGGATAAGTGTAGGGCAAAATTTTAGGGAAGTTCACATTCATCGCTTTTTCAGGATACTGAGAGAAGAAATACTGGAGTCAAAAAAAATGTCACCTTATAAATTATAATCAACGAATGACTCAAAGTACATAAATTCAATACGTACCTTAAAAATGGCTGTTACATTATCTCTAGGATCCATGCTAACCGGCTGTCCAGTTTTGTGAAGTGGGTAGTTCTTGAAAACATCTTGAAACTCATGAAACTCAGGCTGCTTTTCCAATTCATTATTATAAATCTTGGCAAAGAAAAGTAGATGGAAATAACAGTAAAAATATGTACTGAACTGTTGATAAATGAACAAATACATTCAACATGCCAAAAATTAACAGCCCTTACTGAATGTAAAATTTGTGGCCTTTCAAGTATTGTGTAAGCTGAGGGGGAAGGGGAGGGGGACCAGGCAGGTGATATGTTATGTGAATGTGCTAAGAAAAAACGTTAAAAAATCAGTCATGTGGGAGATGTGAATCATCTGTGCATCCACAGTCATTTTCACGCAGTTTATCATCAGAGAATACCTGATCAAGAATAAAATGGAATAGAATAGGAGGACCCTTTTACGCTACAAGATGGGCCATGCACCTTCTGCAGGGGAAATTCATTGGTAAATGAAGATTGAAATACCTGATCAAATTATGGAACAGCAAGTTTTACATCTGACCTTGAACTCTGATTCTCAAACGTAAGGATTGTTGTTCTTTCATACTGGATGTGGAAAGACTAATTGAATCGGGACGTGCAAAAACTGCTAATGTCCATTTTTCCAGTCTTCAGTTTTTTTTAGTTGATAATACTTTTAAAGAAATGATACAACCATAAAAGTGATTGAAGGACTCGTTTAGGGATTAAGGTAACCTGGGGACGAGTATTAACGCCTTTTTCGTGGTTGCATTCAACTACTAATAGTATCATCAACTCAAAAGAACTGAAGAGTGGAAAAATGGACAACAGCGGTTTTCGCACGTCCCTATTCAACTATAAGACAGACTTGCTGACACCTTGTATTGGAATTTATTCTTGAAATTGAGAGTGGTAAAAATACGTACTACTAGGCCTGCTTTAACCATGTTCTTCTTGGGGATTCGTCTACACTCTGTCGGCAAATCTTGGCAACAATCGCACATGAACACATTCATTTTGTTCTCAAGCCAAAGTTTATTTTTTCTCAACTAAAAAACAGAGTTAAAAAAGATGCAAGATAAAATAGAGATATTTTTAATGATTTATGGAATTTTTACACAGCATTGTAATTTGGTCTTTACTTAGACTCATTATCTACTCCACATGTAAATGGGCTAATTTTGAGTCAAGTAGACTACCTATTGTATTTCTTCTTAGCGGGGAATTCAAATTTCCTGTAACCGATGTAAACTAAAAACGTTAATATCTTGAATTAGAGTTTATATTGGTAATTTTCGTTACATGAATTGTGTTCTATGTGAAATCTTGGTCAGAAAATATGTATCATGATACTTGACTTTGCACCTTGTCTACCGGTCCATTCACAATGGATAGAATGAATAGACAGAGACAATGAGAGAATTCTGGATCAGGTATGCAAAAACCAAGCCTACGTCCGAAAATGAGAGCAGAAAATAATGTTCCTAGCACCTCCACAACTTTCTTCACAACCCAAGAAATTATTACGAAAATTTTTCAGAGAATTGTGACTTACTTCACCCATGGTTTCGATTGAATTGAAATACTTTGTCCACCAATCTTCCGCATTCACGTCCTTAAGCTCATACAGCAATGGAGTCTCAAAGGTAAAGTTATCCAATTCCAGATCACTTGACTCTTCGGACCGTTCGAAGATCCATCGACAAGGTGCCCATAACCATGAGAAGTGCGAGATGATTGCTGTGACGTGAAAAACCACTATAAGCACTATGGAACGAAGAAAATAGTAGAGGAAAAATTTTTGAAAAGCGTCATCAATTGCACTTAAAAGCATGTAAACTTTATGCCACATCCACTTTGGAAAATTGTACGCCTGTCTCGCAACTGCATGGACTTTCGGAGCGATGTGAGTATTGAAAGATTTGGGCTCCTCCTGAAAAGAAAGAAAATTCACAATCTGAAATTATTTGAAGCAATGCTGACAAAATAAAAGAATGAATTGAACTATTATACTTAAAGATACTGACTTATGGTTAAGCTAAATGAAGGCTTGCTTTGAGAGGTATTGGCCTCTTTTTCTAACCCTTTTTCCAATACAGATGCAGCATTTACATTTAAGGAAACCGCATCCCTCCAGCAGCATTTTCGCCGTTACTCAACAACACCACAGAAGCTATTCACATGTGGCGGATATTGTGTGTATTCACATTTGTGGCTCTGTCTGTTAAGGAGGATCTTTAGGCAAGATTCATGATCTGAGCAATGCAATACACATAATATCGGTTCAAACAAAACCAAACCCCACAAAAAATCATCCTGATTCTTAATCCTCCATATTAAACTAAGCCTTGCTCTCTGGAAGGAATTGCTTTGGAAGGAATGGACTAGTTCCACTATCCACATGGTTGCGTTTTGATGGTTTTGATGGTTGTAACTTCACAAAAAAGTAATAAAATCCATCAGAATGCCAAGTTTCTTCCGCCCATTAACTAAACAGCGAACTTTGCAACATTCTAATACAATTTCAAGCCTGCTAAATTTTGATCAACATCGGTGCTTTTTTACCTGGATTTTAATTGACTCCTTCTGTAAAATTAAAGGTTTGATTGAAGACTCTGCTGATGACTCTACATCTACTTCTGTCCTTTCTCCATCAGCCTCAGTTTCTGGGAAAAACATTTAAGAATACGAAGAATTAATCATATGCTTTCAGAAGTTAATATCCATCCAGCTGCTGCCTGCGGGTGAGTTGGTGGCTGTGCGCTACAGAGCACTGTCAGTGAATTTATTACTAGGATTCAGTGATTGGAAACTTGATAGCCTAACAAGTGCTTCCACCTACGGTTCTGAGAGAGACACCAGGGGCTAAGGATGGCCAATAAGCCTGACATTCATCTCTGCCTGAATCAGAAACTTATGCCTCTCTACTTTTAAATTTTTGAAAGCTACAGCCATAGTATAGGCAGGCTCCCATCTGCTGGGTGCTCATTTTTCCAGCCAACTGATGTGAGCTGCAATTTGTAATAAGTGTGATAATTTTTCTACTATTCAAATACAAAGAATGTTAATCTTAGGACTTGCTTTTTAAAATATGTAATAGCAGGGGTATTGTCTGTAACACCTCATTTTCCCCTAAATTTTCTCATTTCATGATTTCAGATTTTTTGGCAAAAATTTGGTATACCTAAGTTTGAAGCTTTCATTGCAATTTTGTTTTCATTTTAATAGCTTTTATATAAGAGAATGTATCTTGAGTCTGCAAAAGAAATGATGGCTGGGAACAAAAAAGGAAAATCAAGGACTTCAAGACATCGAGAATGAAACTACCAAAAGTTGTACCCAAGAACCACTTTTCCTCTAAAAAATTACAATATTTCTTGAAATATAACCTAGGGTTGAGCCTAACAACCCCACTTTTTGAGACATAGAAAGATGCCAATTCAAATCCCCTCCCTCCAAATGCTTTCCATTACTTAAATGTTTCCCTGAATTTTAATACTCTAGGGCTTACCGGACTGAGCAAGTTGTTCCTGCTTGATAAGAACCTGATTGGCATTGCGCTCTCGATTCCAGTCTTCAACTTTTATCATTCGAGCTTTGAGATCATTTAAATTTTTGATGACGTACCACCCTCTCAGACGCTTACGCCCACAAATGTTCAGTGAGTGGAGTTTGATGATGGCGGAAGGCTGGTATAAATGTTCTATCGGCAATGTCTGCAACATTTGATCAATCAAAAGATAACATTATTTGGCCTGAACACATTTGGATGGCATCTAGCAGAAGGAACCGATACGATTACGTTATGAGACTTGCAAGTTACCTACTTGCAGTTTATTCTTCTAACTACTTTGGTGGCTTCTCCAGTCTTTGCTGGAAACTCAATCACCAAACGTTTGACTCATTTTGACAAAAACTGCTCCACTTGAACAATCTTATTCGCAACATGCATTCTAGCAGCTTTTAAGCAAGAAGCGCCCACTCTCCTCATGAACTTCCAAAATATACACCTCTTTATTCGATAAAGTACTCTATGGAATAAGCCTTGATGGCTCCTATATTGAATACATAACAGCAATAAAATTCATCACTCACAATGCTGATTTTAGTCGGAGCTTGATCGAAGTTCGGATAGTTTTGAACATTCCGGATCCTTTTTGATTCGACTGACAGATCTGCAATCGTTACGGTCACTGTTGGAAGTATCAGGGTTTTTTTCGTATTTCTCAGACCCCAAAATAAAATCTCCAATCTGTTGAAAAAAGTCAATGAGGTAACAACATAAATTAGCATAATGATTCTGGACTTGAGTGTAAAAGAAAAGTTCAAAATATTGTAACATTCCCCTTTGTAAGCTTGAAAAGAGTGAGATAAAGTAATTAATCTAAATTAGCATTATGAGAGTCAATCACACTCTACCACATTTTTCTCCAGCTCAGAGCAAAAATTTGATTTTTTCATTTTTTCTGCCATTGATTAATGTTAAGTTGACACAAACTGCAGAATGTAAAATCAGAATATTCTCGAAGGTAGAAAGAAGAGGTCCTCCATTCCAACACCAATTTTCCTATTTCTCTGGACATTTTACATTCCCTAATGAATCTTGGTCTATCTAGGTTCTCAACACCAAGTCTTACTTGAATGGGTTCTTACCGATAATTTTGAACAATGGGCCTGATTCCGTGTGGAATCCTTAGTACTTCAGCATCGTCGCGAGCCACAGCATCTGACCTGGATAGAACGTTGGTGGATGTGGCACTCGTATTAAATACTGACTCATAATACTGATACTCTTTTTCTATTTTATCCAGAAAATTACTCGAGGATCGGTCCGTTTGACGATGAGACTTTTCTTTTGCACGGATTTTGTGCGGCTTCTTTAATGACTGGATTTTTGAACCATCTCCTGCACTGAGAATATCTTCGGTCGTTGAGATCGATGAGTTTGTTAATGTCGATGATTCTCTGTCCACAACCTCTATGACGGAATCTGGACTGGGCCTATTTGACAATGGATCAAAGGAATCTTTCCGGTTTTTATCATCTAATGCACTTACATCAGTTGGGCCTGAATTCGGATCATTTATGACAGGGGTGTTTTTCGGCAGGAGTTTTCTTTTAGCTGCTGCATATGACTTTTTTACTTTCCTGCCAAAGTTTTTTCTCATACTTTTCAGATCTTTTCGTTTAGAACCCTGGTCGATTTGCCGATCAGAATGGTCGGATTTGAGGGACTTGGAGCGATTTGACACGTCAATGACTGTTTCTCTTTTATCTTTGACTCCATTAAGATTGACAGATCGATTTGTTTCATGCGGCTCATTTTTTAAATCATGCTTTGGAGAAGAGTAAGGTTTATCTAACATCGAGTGCTGATTAGGATACGAAGAGCTAAAAAAATTCTTAAGAGAGGTTCTTGCACTTGGTTCATTCTTCAATTGGCTGCCCCTGTTTTTCACCTTTGACTTTAGTGGCTTTTTAAATTTTTTAAATCGATTGAATGATTTTTTTGTTCTCAATTTTTCCTTTTTGGATCTCTTCATACTTTGCAGTTTAGACTTTTTTTTATCAACTTTATTACGAGCTACACTTTTTTTAGCCTGCAGGGTCTTTACAGGATCTGTTTTCCTACTTCTTGAGGGCTGTGTTTCCTCAAAATCTTCCCCTGCAGAATTTCTGGTGAGTTCTCTGCGGAATGTCTGTTTGGAGAGCTTGCTGGACCAACTTTCTTCACTTTCTGGACTGTCGTCGAAAACAACCCTTTTTAATTCAAGATAGTCATGTTTGGAAGACAATTTCGTTAATTTTCCTCTGGTTTTTAGAAATAATTCTTGAAGATTGTTACTAGCATGCGCATTTTTCTGTTTAAAAAATAGGGGCCATCTTTTATTTTGTTTTACATTGAGAGATCCACCGTCATTCCCTGCCCTCAATTTCTTTTTCCAAGTTTTAAGTTTATTAACTCTTTTGGTTCTCTGTGACAACGGCAGATTATAGAAAGATTTACTACCGAAATTTTCATGCTTGCTTCTAATGCCACTCCAGCTCAGGAAATTTCGAACCATCCCCGTGGCAGTTTTAGTGCTACAAGAGTGCAAACCTTGACCAATTTTGTGTAGAAAACCTCTGCGTTTGATTTTGTAATGAGATTTAAAGCTAGAATAAATAAACCTTCTTGTCATGATTGATTCTACTGTCTTCATTGGTGCTGCCCCAGAAATAACATATCTCCCTGAGATACTTTTATGCTTAAAGCAATTCTCCTTGAGACAAGTCTTCATTTTTGCAACTTGATTTGTAAATGCATTTTCATTTTTCCCTATGCAATTCTGGTACACTGTATTTTCTGTATTACTTTTATGTAAATATAAACAGTCAGACCAATTTATTACTTCTTCATGTTTTGCATTGCGCTTGTGAAAATAAAAACTTTCCTCAGATCCTTTCTTGGTTATCTTTAACTCAAAAAAATCAAATTCCAAGGGAAAAGACTCCAGGTTTGTTCCAAAGACATTTGCTACTTTCCGAAGCTGTTTCAATTGCCGATACGATGCTGTTTTCTGTAATATCGGTTGTTTTCCTGTCAAAACCTTGTTTTTCTCAAAAGTTGAAGACTGAGTAAAGTTAAAACTATTTGTATTGTTACAATCAATATTCTTCAGATCTTCAGGACTAAAATTCCTCATTTTGCTGACCGTATCAACCTCATCTGTTGTTTCATGAGAATTTTCTAGCAAACACACTTCATTCTCAAATGAATTGTTCGTAATTCCCTGCATTCGACACTCAATAACGTCAGTGTTGGAGAGATTTACATATTTAATGGATTCACCTGATTCATTTGTGGATTTTGATTCAGTTTCAAATTTTACGAGGTCTTCCTGAGTGACGGTTTGAGATTGTTGTAAACCACTTTCGGTTGATACACCAGTTGTATTCTTTTCTAAAAGAGATTTGAATTTTTCAGGAACGACAAATTCCTCTCTGACTTTGTAAGTATCATGATTTTTATTGAGTTGCTCCAATTGTTCAGAAAAAGAAGGACTGGGCATTGGCAGTTTTTTCAACAGTCTTTGCTCTTGTAAGACTTTTCTGGATTGCCAAAGCTCAAATACTGCATCTTTTAACTTTATTCCAGCTGGGTCCTTCGTAATTTCTCTTTTCCCATTTTGGAAAGTCTTGGGAGACTGATTGCTAACAAGCAACTCCTGATTAAACAAATTTATTTGAGGATTGTTTCTCGCCGCATTGCTGAAATGGTTCTTCCATTGCAAAACTATTTCATCCGATGATTCCTCCACTGAGGAAATAGTAGCGGATGTTCCGAATATTTCCTTGATCCGTTTCTTATAACTGACATTTCTGATTCTTTTTTCTCTTTTAAAACGTCCGAACTTAGGAAAAGGCTTCGTTTTAGGTCTGTCCATCATGCTACCTCCTCCTCTTTCCGAAGTTGATCTTCGGACTTCAGCAGTCTTTTTCGAGACAGAATTTTTGTCTGAGGCATCTGTCTGATCATCAAATGGTATGTTTCTAAAAGGCGAGTGTATCTTTTTTTCTGGAGCCCCCGCTTTCGGAGGAAACTCAATGACCATGAAACTTCCACTACTTTTTACGCCCAAATCTCTGCGTTTGAGTTTTTCATCTGCATGACGTCGTTGAGTAGTTGCACTATCTGAGTATTCTGAGCTGACCGATTCCGATGAGTTTTTTTCACTTATCTGTTGCGTTTCCTTGTTGGACAATCTGGCACTGGTAGGAGGGACATCTTTTTCCAGCATTTTCTGCGAAGTTTCTTTCGTTCTTGGAGTGTTTTGGAAATTACTCTTACTTTCATGAAAAACAGATGAGTTGGATTCAATGATTTCTTCATAAGAAACAGAGCTAACGGTTTTTTTTAAAACTGAATTCTTCTCTGATTCTAGAGATGAAGCATCATCAGAGATCTGAAATTTAAAAATGTGATTAGAGAATTAAACAAACAAATTTCTGAACACAACACAAACCTGATCGGTTAAGGATGTATTCTGGAATACTTAATTGCTGCATTCCTTTCTCGTTTCTCCTTTAGAAAACCTAAAAAGCACACAGGCTTTCTTACCACCTTTTAATTTTGTTTCAAATTATTTGTAGGGGTCACTCTTCCACATTTAAAAACTCGAACACAAGTTTAATTTGAGTCGATGTTCTAATAAAAATAAGTTCTTAAATTAATTCCCTGACTACCTAGAAAAAAATTTTTAAAAAAATATTCACCTGATGGTATTCAAACAAAGCCAAAATTTCTCCAATCTGTTTATTATAACCATCATAAATGCTGTGCCAGTCCATTTTTGGCGGATATTGGGGTTTGCTTTTATCGGCGAGCAAATGCACGACAGGCAAAGCAGTAGCAATACCAACAAGTTTTTCTTGTTCCTGTAAAATGATAAAGCGACAGAGAATGAATGACCAAAACATACTTAAGAATTCACGATTCTTATTTCCATTATGATCATGGTTTAATTACATGTAGCAATGGAAAACAGTTACAGGTAGTTGGTACTTACGATTTTTTTTTTTTTTTTTTTTTTTTTTTTTACGGAGAAAATCGAGACCTTAAAGCACTATAAAAAAAAGGCACAAAAAAACAGTAAGGAAAAAAGTAAAAAAAAGTGAAAAAAAAACATCTTCTCATGGGAACTTTTTTTAAGCTGGAACAAAAATAGGCGTGACCAAACCTGTGAAAAGGGACTTTATCTCCTAGGAAAAAAAGTACTCTTAACTTTTTGCAAACACTTAAACCTTATTTTCCTACGACCTAAAAATTTTGTCTTGGAACTTCAGGAATAATATCTCCTTTAATTTTTTAGATTTTAGGGTGAAACTTTTACTGAAGATTCCAGAATTTCTTCCTTGATGCAGTTGCAAAAAGTGAAGGAAAATTTTCCCCTGGAAGATAAGGTCCCTTTTCACAGATATGATCACGAGAGATTCTCAAATGAATTGATCAACGATCTAATGAAATAAACAAAACAAGGAGACATTTTTTTTTCATAGATTTTGAGTTGACCTGAGACCCTATCCTCAGGAGAGGCATAATTTTACATGGATTTGCGTCAGTTTAAAAGGATGTATGAGGAACAACGCTTTGAAATTTTACCTCCGAATTGTGAAGAAGCTCAATGACAACGGCTGGTGGATGTTCCTTCAGGTAATTACTGCTGCGGTGACGAACAATTCTGTTAAACACGAGCATTTCATCCCAAATTGGTGTGACAGAATGTTTCACAACCTAAGAAAATTGTTTTCTTGAGGGATTAAAATTAACGGAAAAATCAATCCAAATATTTGATGCTTACACAACCTAGGTGTAATATGATTTTTGTCATATGTAGGGATTTTTATACTACGGCAGCAGTTTTATTTGTGAGCCCCTGTTTTTTTACAGAGCTATTTAGCTATTTTAGTTGCTGAAAATATTGTGTAGAACAATAATAATTCTGTGGTGGATAAACCAATTAATGATTTCAAAAATTCAAAATATTTTAGAAAAATCCTTCAAACGTGGAGCAAATTGTAAAGCGCCAGTTATTAAATGATGATTTATTTTGTTAACTGCCGACATTTTTTTTCTCAATTGAGGCATGCATTAGAAGTTTTCAGAAACTTGAGGCTAACCTGTGTTGTTTGTGTTTCGCTCGCCATAACAATTCTGATGGATGGGTGAAAGTGGTCGAGGCCTCTCCTCAAATTCCTTAGTTCAAATTGGCCTTGATAGATATGGGCTCGACATTCAAAGATCTGAAAAATAGATGGTTGAAAAAGAAAATTAAACAAAATGCAAAAAAGATTGTTGAAGCCATCTAATGAGCAAATCATTCACACAACTTCATCAAAGCCTTAGAGAGGTAATGTCATTACAAATAGATTGTGGTTTAGCAGTTAGTGATTTTGCCAAAGTGCATTGTAGTGAGGTTATTTTTGCCATTTTTTAACGATTTAGTGATTGAAGTTCTCCTTTTATAGTTCTAGGATATCTGGAAGTCTAAAAATTTGATGTCACCATCAGAGTCAGTGCTAAAAAATGTTGTGTTGAGTAGACTTTTGTCATCTTGACTTATTTAAGGACCTTGCAATCTGAACTTAAATTTGCTGATTTAAGGTGACTTAAAAACAACAAAATTTGTTTTCTCAGGTGGATTCCTACGCAGATGAACTTTTGAGAAAATAGCTCCTGTGAATACAGCCTTAATTTTTCAATTTAATAAGATTATGCGATGATTCTCACATTTAAAAATGGCAGTTGATGCTTATCTTTCATACATTTCTGCCTCCCACAATAATGATATTAAAACATGAAATGAACTACATTTTGTAATAAAGAATTACTATTTCTGACTCATATTAGAAACAAATTAAATATCATTAGTTTCCCTATGCAAGTAGATGCTTCCAAGAACAAACTAGATATAGCAGTGCCTTATTGCAAGATTTAGTTCACAGCATGGTTCCTTCAGGCAAACTGGACGTATTTCTATCAAACAGATTTATGTGCAGGTGAGAAATATGGGGTGTGCTTGTCAGTTCTCTGGCTGTAAGAGTGAATGAGAATAATAAAGTGTCAGTGACGTCAACGGAGATGGATGCCATCGTGCAGCTCGCCTCGTTGGTCATTAACTCATGAGCCCTGTCCACAACGCTCTCGTGCCATGCCCGCGACTCATACATCCCCACATAGTTTTGTTAGCTGAATTTGAAATCCCGCTTTTCCAAGTCTTCAAAAGGAATCATGCCCACTTTTACATTGTTTCTTATCCAGCTTTCTAGAGTACGCCCCATATTTCTCACCTGCACATAGTTCTGTTTGATAGAAATACGTCCAACTGTTGTACAGAATTAGTTAAGGGACTTCGTGTATAACATAAATTCTACTGATACAGAATGTGAAATTGCTTTTTTAGAGATGCCACTCCTTGCAAAATGAAAACTTACACTTGAGTTTGGATAGCGAATATACCGAGGTAATTCATAGAAACCAGACAAGTCCTCGCTTCCTTCTGGTAAACGCTCTAAACATTTTCCAATATTTGCTGCCAATCCAAGCCACAGAAATATTTCAACCTTACCATTCACCTCCAATTGTGCATCTTCCGTTGTCCGCTGGAACAAAATGAGAGTAATATGCATGAGAGTGATGTTCAAACCCTACAATATAGCACAATCACAGGTGCTAATCCAAAAACCCATTACCGCAGTGAACCCCTTTGAGTATAGAATTGAGGAAACTAGAGACAGGAGGTTCAATTAAACATTATGAATACTGAATTACATTTAATAGATACATGTTTATTTCTTTCATGAGCTAAAATTTGATTGAATTCATGTCTAAACAACGACTTGCTTGTGTGTACCTACAAATTCTATTAAATCTATGTATCGATGACTAAATGCAAAAAATTTGCACCTCAAGTGTGACATTTAAAAGAATCTGCTCAGGTTTTATTTTTTTAGAGGAAAACTAACAATTGAAAATAGTTACTACACATTGAAATTTTCAGTGAATTTTCTTTAGTCATTCTGAGTAAATCACACACAATTGCAAGGAAACATTTTAATACGATATCTTTGAGGAAAATAAAATGTGATCAGTGATGTTTAAAAGTTTCGAGTGAGATGCCTGCAGCCGTCAAAATGTACATCGGACAGAATTAAATTAATCAGTAGAATTTTAGCCTCGATTTGCTTAAAATAAAACATAAAAAACATTTTGCTGGATTTTGAAATTGTTCAGAGGCGAACTTCAAGGAGATACTTTTCAAAATATTTTCACTGGATGCGATGAGAAAATTGACAAATTCCAGATTTTCTTACCTTGAAAAAAATAGTTAATACTTTCCCGCAAGACTTTCCACTCCAGATATCATTATCGGCGTGCAGTATATCTTTGGCAGAAATCCTGCAGTTTGAAATGAGCTCCTTGTTTTTCCACAAATTGAGGACTATGTCTGGAAACGTTTCCTGGGGCTAAGAAACAGAGAAAAATTTAATCAAACTGAGAAATGGATTAATATTTTTCATCACCTACTATTCATTACTTCAATTTCAAGACAATAATGAAAATAATGGACTTTGAGTTCAAAAATAGGAAAAGATCAATTTTTCAAATTTTTGACATTTGAGTCTTTTGAAAAGGATGAAGCTTTCGACAAGATAGAAATTTTGGTAATTAATGTTTCCTCTTCAAAGTGAGCGTAAAACACAATTCATGCAACAATGATGACTACAATTAACTCCTTACCAAGATATTAACATTTTTATTTGTCACTGATTACGAAAATGAAGCTTTGCTTTTCGTTGGCAAAAAAATAATTTTAAAACACTCAAAGCTTCTTCTGCAAAAAGAATAGAGAGAATTTATTTTTTGACATGACTCAACAAAAACTCCTCAACCTGACAAATTTGCGTTCGAGAATCAAGGTCCCTTTTCCTTAGGCTAAACTTGTGTTTCCGATATTTTTCCAAATTTACATCAAAACTTGGGTAAATAACGTCTTTTTAACAAGTCTAATAACAAAATGTTTTGATCTACAGAATTGATTATCACTTGTCAAGATGAACTTCATGCCTGGGTTTTCGACGTATATACTAACATCAGATACTAGCGAAGTACTTCTAGACGATGTATCCCTAATGAAAAATAAAATGAAAAATAAAACAATGTCGTTTTAACTCACATCATTGACAAGCTCTTCGATGTGACTCAGCATACCACACGCTGTATGAAATTTTTCAGTGATGGTTTCTTTCCAGTAATGTGAAGATATTGCTTTGATGATTGACTCCTAGGAAGAATTTCACAAAAGAACAGTTTCAAAATGGTAAATTTGATTTTCAGTTGGATGGACTTAAATGGAATCAGCCCAACTGCTATTCACGTTGCTTAATTTCCTCTCAAAGTTTTTTTTTGACAGGGAACCAAACAAAACAATGCTTTGAACTTTCTGTGCATTTTTCCTGGATTATGAAGAATACTCTTACAAAATTTCAAGTTTCCATGTTGCCTGGTTTTCTATTTAAATAGTAAAACTTAATAGGAAATTAGCCAACATAAAATGCAATTAAGACGATTTCCGTTAAATTCATCTACAGTAAGACCTCGAATTATCGGATCGCGATTTAGCGGATTTCGCGATTTAGCGAATCGATCCTCCGGTCCCTTCAGCGGAAGCGACTAGCGCGATTTAGCGGATTCCGGGATTTAACGGATTCGGCCTCCGGTCCTGTGGAATCCGATAAATCGAGGTCTTACTGTAGTTTGTCTTCAAAAGAAAAAAGAAGGAAAATATCCAATATACAATAAATTAATTTATGATAAATCAAATATCTTTACATCTTTCTGTTTTGTTGCATGAGCATGCTGCTCCTTTAGTCAAACAAATGTATAAAACATATTTTTGAAATTTAAAAAAAGTTATGAATTGGAACAGAAGCCTTTCACTTCTTAAAAATAATTAACCTTTTTTTGCGTTAGGATTTTGAAATCCTGAGACAATGGGTTAAAGAATGATAAGTGTCAATTTGTTGTACAAGCAAGTAGTCTCAATTCAGAATTTTCAAATCAAAAATGAGTAAAATGACAAGTATTTTCCTTCAAAAGGTTTAGACTACAAAATGAAAATATGAATAACTTACAAGAAGTGCTTGGAAAGCCCTTGCCCTAGTTTTATCCTGGTACGTAGAACCAAGAGGGAGAGACTTATTATCACTGCACATAATTCTGAGCTCCTCCATCATTTTGTCCAGTTGTTCGTGAGCTAAAGCTAAGTTACCGACACATATTTGTTTCCTGGATGAGGAAAGGCCTTTCCTCTGGACAAAAAAAAACAGACAATTTTGAGTAATGCATTTTATAATGTTAAGTCAATGCTTAAAATAAACACTTTTAGCTACATCAAATTTGAGCCAAGCAGAGAAGATTCGAAAATTATTCTTCCAAAATATTCAATGTTAGGAACAAAATTCAACGACTATTTTAACGTTCCAAATATTTTTACTCAATTTTTAATATTTGAGGGAGAAATTAAACGACCAGTTGAATTCGGAACTACAACTCATTTTAGTTTAAATTGCGACAGGGTGTATTTCTGTTTAACTCAGACCTTTTGTTGTCTAAAGTTTTGGGGCAATCCACAGAAGATTTGAAAAATATCGTTGGCCAAAGTGCAAAACTATGTACCTCCATTTGTGATGTTGTAGACTTCCAGTCATACTTAATTTTTATTATGGAAAACTATTAAACTTAATTTCTTAAAAACTTCCTTGATTCGTCTTCACTATTAGCAAGATATTCAGTAAAAATTTCAAGCTATATATTTGGCTTGTTTTTCCTTGGAAAAATAAAAACAGGGCAAAAAATTTGAAACATCGTAATTAAGATGCGTGGTTTTGCACTTCGGCCATCGATATGATTCCGCTAAATTATTTCCACGGAACTTCAGTCAATTTAGAATCATCAAGATTAATCGCATTTTCTGAGCTGATTTTTAGGGAGAGCTTCCTCTAAGTACTCTACGCATTTGAACAAAATAGATAAAATGATTTAAAAAACAAAAATAAATGCAACAGTTAAATCAATTGCGATACTTAGTGATTACTTGTCCTCTTCGAGAATTTTTTATTTCCTTTTTGTTAGACTAGATATTACATTTAACAATAGTAATCGACGGAGGAACAAATGATCACAAACCTATCACCATAAAATATTTCCTTATCAAGTAGAAAAAAAAATCATCAGCAACAAGAAGAATATTGATAAAGTTGACAAGCCTAAAAATTTGAGGAAACAGTTTATTACCATCAATGAAGCCATCTTTTCCAAACTATTGGACATGTAAAATCGGTATTGAGCGTCTGGCCAAGAGGATCTCAGAAAAATGCATGGCTTAAATTTCCCAATTCTCAAGGTCCAAAATCCGCCAAGACTGGGTTCACATTCCATTTGTAATGTTGTATTAAACGATTCTGCAAACAACACAGGGAACACAATTTCTTGAAGATGGGTTGGATCTCATTGTGCATATGTAAGGATATATGATAAGAGAACATATATTGTGGTACTTAATTTTGCGCCCCGTTCAGGGGTTCATTATGATAAATGTAAAGAAAAACAAGGAACAGATGTAATAATGAGTCCCATAACAGAAGAATCAGCTCAGAATAAATACATAACCGTTAATTGACTGTTCAAAAATTATTCAAATTGATCAGTTGCCCTGGTCACACAATAGTATTTTGATAATTTGAACTTATGGCTACGCAAAAATTAATACAATTCATTCAAGCACAAAATTTCTATGACAAAGAGTGATGAAAATATCATCCATCGAAAAACACAGTGTATGACATCGTCAATTGTGGTAATGCATACCATGGTTTCTGCCACCTTTCTTGCATTAGTATTTCATATCAAACAACCAGAAGCAACATGCAGATCACTGATTGCTAGAATCCAGAAGGGAGAAATTATGGAATGCACTACCATGGAAGTATGACATACATTGTGTTCTTCAATGAGCAATACCTCTTTCAATACTGGACATAGAAACTCGGCGTTTAAAGAGGTCTTATTATTTTTTTGCTGAACTTGAATAATCAAATCAAGATTCTGTGACTAACACTGGTGACCCATGAGAAATGGAAATATGCTTTGAGATTCAACTCTTCGAAACACAAGTCTGATAAATGACACTTAAGAAGAAGGTGAGCCTGCGCTCTGATGAGTACAATCAGATAATCACTTCAGTTCTGAAGGCATAACAATTGTTCCGTTACTAAAGGAAATTATGATCTTGACTGGGTATGGGAAACAGAAATATTTTTGACCTCAAAATTTATATTCTTCACTGACCTTCGTTCTGAATGACTGATCTACCATGACTGCCTATGCTCATAGAGACACACAGATCCTTTCCTGGGCAGAGATTTTCCCGCAACATTGAGACTTCAAAGATTGTTCCAAAAACAATGTAATCCATGAAAGTTAAATTCTCTTTCTATGAAAAGAGACAAAGCATTAGAAATGCCAAAATTGTACTTAAAAATGAAAGGAATATCAACTCTTAGTCTCACATAAATACTAATCAATTTTGAGCTGATGAGACCATTAAAGCAAACAATTCACCAGGCAGTGCAATATGTGTTCTAAAAGGACGGAGAAGACCTTTCCTTAAGAGGTTTTATTTTGAGAAGTGTTCGAAAAATGTTAAAAACATGAACAATATAATGGGCAATCATAAGCGTATAGTCAATATAAAATTTTCTCTAAAATTATGGGGCAGATCTTTCACCTGTCTTCTTCAATGTAATCAGTGCAACTTCTTCCAAAAATTAAATAGTTGAAATAAGTTTTAAATTTTAAATATAATATATTTTTTGATCATTTCTTTTTGTTCCTTGTTTTGTTCATAAAATTTTCGAGCGTATTTCGTGGCAAAGAGCATTTCACCATAAAAATCACTGTGACTTTCAGTGGTCAGAAATATTTTCTAATGTTGAATGTTGGGGATAAAGGAATTCACCTTTGACTGACATCATGAAAAGAGACAGGAGAAAGTCATTGTGACATATTATTGTTTGCTGCATTTGCTGTTGCACTCTGATTTTAAAAGTCAAAAGAATCTCATATAACAAAATTTTTGAGAACCCAAAGTTTATAATAAGTTTTAGATGATACAAAAGGTAACACATAGAACTTTATTGTGGATTGGACGGTTTAAAAGAGAGAAAAATTCACCTCATCAAAACCAGAGAGTTGGTGTTTTTGAAAACAAACCAGCATACGTCTGGGGAGTAACGAACTGTCCATTTTTTCACTTGTGATTGCCAACAAAACAGATCCTTGATAAAACCTACTGTCATCATAGAAATGAATGTACGCTGGACCAAAAGAAGGCAGATATCCTGTATTTAAACACCAAAAAATCAAGATCAATTTTCGGAAACACAATAAATGAGGAAACAGTAATATCAAGTTTAAAAAACAGTGTAGTATGAAAAAAAGTGGGGGCAGAATAATCTAAAAATCCACAGAAAGGCGGAACTATCATGAAGAAATGGCACGAGAGGTAAATCATCGATAAGGATTTACGTTTCTTTAAGGAAAATTATTCCAACTGATTGACGATTGACGAATTGGAATCGGGCATCTATACAAAATACAGGATGAAACACAGCACATAGTTTATTTTCAAAATTTGACGAGGAAAACCAATCACACAATAAGAAGTCTGAACGCTGGAAATCAACAAGATAAAAATATTCACAACTGACATAGGTTTTGTGGCAAAAATACAAAGGATTTCATTTTTATAATCTGACTTCTGTTTGATCTGTACATATTAAAAATACATGTTCATATCTTGTTCAGATGTTGATTTCCAAACTTCTCATTGCTCCAGTCATTTTCTGAGTGAGATTTTTATGAGAAACCTTTTTTTTTCTACTTCAGACCTTCACTAGCAGCTCATTGATTGTTATTGTAAATAACTGTACTTAAAACATTTTTAGTTCTGAAATTTCCACAATTATGTTAAACTCTTTTGGCAGGTTTTTTTTTTTCTTTTTTTTTTTTTGAATGACTCCCAAGTTCATGCTTATCTTTTAATTCATTAATTCGAGGAAACATAATACACATAGAGTAATTTCTGTAAAATATACGGATAAAAAGAATTTGAATACCTGTTGCAGAACAGTACCATATATCTTTCATGAAAATCATTCTGTAGCAAACCTCATCACCGTTTATCCTGACAGACAATTTGATGACTTGGTACATCGGAGGGTAAACTTCGGTGAAAGTGAAAAGTTCGTCCCAGTAAACTTTCTTGGCATTCATTTTACTTGATGTTGAAACCTGTACACATCCGCAAAACATAGAACATTAATTTCCTTTTAAATAAAAAGGAAAATCACATGATATTGATTTACTGGCAGGGACAGTAAAGTATTAAATTCTTTTGTGAAAAAACAGATGAGCCATAAGTCAAAATCAAGGGATCCCTTTGAATGGTTCTACTTCAAAATTTAATGTGAGAGACCATAACAAAATGATGGCTGAACAATTCTGTGAGAAATTTGAGCAACTGCAATTTGAGAGTACTAAAATTTACTGAAGTTGCTGTTAATTCGGCGAAATTATCTACCAACGAATATTGACCATTGGATTAATACAGGCAAAATATTGGCCTGTAATGACTTAACATGCGAGGAAAAAACACTAACCTGCCTGATTATCATTTTTTTTTTTATTTCCTTGTTTTAGCTTTGTTTTCTGGTGTGGACCCAGCATCATTTCACCACCTTGTGACTTAATGTGTTAACTGCCAATTACAAACGTTTGACACTTGCTGCAGCGCAGCAAATATGCTGTTATGAGTACCCAAGTTTCTGTATGCTCCGAGCAGGAGCAAAGGATCTGATGATCGCGGCTGAGCAAAAGTTTCTTCCACACAGTGCTGGCGGTCCACAATCTCCAATGCATATACATGGAAGTGTTGGGCCCACAGCAATGACAAAGCACAAATACTGCTCACCAAAAATGTCTGACACATTGTTGCTTTTCTGACGTAAGGGCTTATTTCAATTTCCATGTGAACCCTGATTTACATATTAAATGCTTTCTGGGGCTCATTTAGAAATTGAGATACGCCCTTACGTCAGAGGAGCGACGACATGGGGCCCAGGGGTGAAAAAATTTCTTCGCCTTCACATTTTTGGAGGCAGCCTTCGCATTTATTGAGGTTGCCTTCACATTGCTGTCCACATAAGACTTGTGCGCTTCACTGTTTCCTTCCCATAAAAAAGCGCACTTCAATATTTCCTTCCTATAAAAAAGCACTCTCAACTATTTTTTTTTTTTTTTTTTTTTTGCATAAGAGAGCGCATTACATAGTTTCCTACGCAAAAAGCTATGCACTTAGCTGGTTTATGCCTTCTACCTTCACATTTTTCCTCTTCTCCAGGGTACATTCACATTTTTTTACCCCTTTTCAGGCGCCTTCACATTTGCTCCGCAATTGGCCGATTGAGCACTTTCTACGACCCTGATGGTACGGAAGTGGCACTGCAGGAGCGTTATTTGTTCAATCCTTAGTGGTCATTATGTTAAAAGGAATAAAGTTATAAACTCAAAAGTGAAACACAATGTTTGATACATGAAATTTTGCATTAAAAGTTGTGAAACAGTCATTGGTAAATACCTTAAAGCCAGCGAACGAAACAACCAAATCAATCTTTCCAGAATGAGTGGGTTGAGGATCAGTAGCTAGGGTTTTTTTGTGGTGAGACTTGAAGTTGCTTCCTGAGTAGATGTAGATTTTGTAGACACCAATCATCGGGTCAGAAACGTCTCTCGGACAGGGCTGGAGCATGTTCCTTCCGGACAAGAGTATGGGTCAGCGCTTGATGTTACATTAAATTAATTAAATGAGAGTAACAGATATGTTGGCAGTGAAACTAAAAAAAAAGTGTTGAATTAAGGGTTTCAAAATTTCCACTTAAAATTTGCTTTTTCAACTCGATTTAAGTCCTTAGAATCTTAGAATCTTAAGATCTTAGAAAAATATGCATTGATACAATGCACACAATTTTTTACAATACCGATGATTAATTATTCTTCGAAAAAGTAAAATATGCCAGCGCATGAGAAAAGGTACAAATAGATGAACGTGGTTTTTACGTTTCAATTTTGATAATACGAGAATATTAATTGCATACTGAATGTAGGTAAGGGCATTAGAAATCGGAGGTCTCGCAATTTAAAAATAAAAATTGAATTGCAGCGGAGGTAAGTAGTTTTACCATTCAAACAACAGATTCTTACAAATACTTAGCTCTGATTGTTTCGAAAGAATTCATATTGTTTAAAATAAAAAAAACTCAGAGACAGATTTTCAATTCTGTGAAGTATGTATATACGCTCTTTGAAAGCAAGCATTACTAAAAGGATTGAGATATGTATCTATGAAACATACCCTTGAATGAAATCAGTGTCACCCTTAAAGAACGGAATACGCATGAATTCACCTTTTTCCAAAATTGCGATGTCTACTTTTAAGTAACCTTGAACCTGACTGCTGCTTTTATTCGGATGCGTCAAAGGTGCCCACTTATGATAAAACTGATGATCTGTAAAAGAAAAAAGTAAGAACTTGATGAAAAATGTTTTAGTCACAACCAAAAAGATAATGCATAAAAAACAATCATGAATTTGTAAAAGTGAGGGGCTTGGTGCTCCAAATTTAAATATTTAGGGATTCATTATTTAATAAGTACTTTATTTCAAATAGAAAAAAAAAATTAAAACATGTTAAATAAAAACCAAACATTTGCCTCTTTGTATCAATTTGAAATTTTTTCACCTCGATCGGCAAATGATCAGCTCTGAAATTCAACTTGATGCGACCCTGACACTCTAGAACTCGATGCCAGGATTACTTGCTCTACAACACCAACTTGCAGAGCCATTTGAACTGGTATTAGAAAATTATGCTATCTTTAACATTCATGAAAACATATGCAAATATTCAAATTATAGAGCTTTTTAAAATCTCTTTAAAAGGAATTCTCCATGACACTTCTTGTTTCTTCTAAGTTAATCTAGTTTCTAAGTTAAAAAAAAAATTAGTAAACAGAGCAAATAAAAAGATAAAAAAACTCATAAGTAATTGTAGATACTCAAAAAATGTTGAGCGCATAAAGTCAGCCATTGCCAGTAAAAAAAATGCAGAGGTATGGAAGGTCATCAAAAACGATTTAGAATGTCAAGTCGTTTACGAAAATGTAAGTGACCTCCTGATGGATGGGAAGCTAATTGATGATCCAGTAGAAATTGCGAACAAATTTAATGAAAGCTTTGTGAACATCAGGGCAAAATTTCCCAAAACAGGAAGTCCAGCTCTAGCTCGTAATTTAATGAGAGATAAAAATAAAAACAAAAATTCCTTTGATTTTAAATCCGTCACAAAGTATAAAGTTCAAAATATTATCAAACAACTGAACAAAAAAGCGGCAGTTGGTTTGGATGAATTTCCCAACAAATTACTGTTAGATAATTTGGAACTTCTGCTGGATCCAATAGTTCAAGGAGTAAACGAAACAATTTCCACAGAGAATTTCCCGGAATCATTAAAATTAACCAAAATTCTCCCGCTACATAAAAAAGGCTCCAAAAAAGATCTGGAAAATTATCGTCCCATTGCGATACTTCCTTTTTTGTCAAAGATTCTCGAAAAAGTTCTATACAATCAAATCTATGATTATTTTGAAAAAAACAATCTGTTTACTTCATCGCAGTTTGGATTCCGAAAAGGAAAAAATACAGGCTTAGCGGTCATGACCTTCCTAAACCAAATAAGGCAACTAAAAAATGCTTGTTCTAAAGAGTCAATCGTAAGCATACAGTTTGATCTGTCGAAAGCCTTTGACTTAGTTGATCACGATATCTTAATTGAAAAGTTAAGAAAATATGGCTTTTCCACTAAAGCCTGTAAGTTGGTTCGGAGTTTCCTCTCCGGTAGATTTCAAACAACCGAAGTATCGAAAAATGGCCGAAAATATCATTCCAATTTCACACCTAGTACCGCTGGCGTAGCCCAAGGCTCATTGCTAGGTCCACTTTTATTTCTTATATACATAAATGACCTGCCAGATTTTCTAGAGGACAATGGAATTGACCTTCAAACAGTAATCTACGCTGATGACATCAATGTGGTAGTTAAAGGGGTGGATATAGAAAATAAAATTAAATGGGTCATCGATAGAGTCAACAAATGGGTAGAGGATAATAATCTAAAATTAAATTTTGCTAAAACCTTTATATTAAACTTCACTAAAAATATATTAGATTTTCAATCGGTCAAAATCGGTGATAAGGAAATTCAGACAAATCAAACAGTGAAATATTTGGGCTTCTTCATCGACCAATAACTAAATTGGCATTCTCACGCAAAACATATTGAGGAAAAAATTGCAAGTAGGGCATTTGCTATTAGGAAACTTAATAGGAAAATAGATAGGGAGTCCCTCATGTTGTACTACCATTCTAACGTGGATTCCATAATTAGCTATGGCATACAATTATGGGGCTATACAACAGGTGCCAGAGATATTCTTTTAACTCAAAAAAAAATCTTAAGAATTATTGCAAACAAAAAAAAATTTGACTCTTGTAGAAAACTATTCCCAGAGTTCAATGTGATGACTGTCTTCTCTAGGTATATATATTCAACAATAAAGGAATCAATTAAATTAGGCTACATCATCAAAGAAAAATTAATTACTAATAATCAAATACAAACCAGAAATATCCTAGCAAAAATTGAAAAAAAACGGGGGGAAAAAGTAGACTGGGATAGCTTAGAAAGCAGAGGTATCAGATATTTTAACAAGCTTCCCAAGCCATTAAAAGAACTTTTCATTAAATCAGAAAATTCAAATCTATTCCTAAATAACATAAAAAATTACTTCATAGAAAACCCTTTTTACGAGTTAAAAGAATATCTCGACGCAAATCTCCCCAATCCCTAAATTGCCTGAATGTAGTCCCCTAAGTCTTAAGTCTTAGTTCTTCATTTACTGTTTTTTTTTTTTTTTATTTGTTTGTTAAAATTTTTGTTACATTTATTTGATGTTAAATTTTGTTCCATTAAATTATTTGACGAGTGTTAAGCTCATAAATTTGTATGAATTTCATGAGGCTGTTGCATTAATAAATATATTATTATTTATTATTATTATTAATCTGTGATTTGAAATCTTGCTGATTTAAAAACCATTTAATTTGAAGAAAATATTCCTTCCTTCTACTTACGGAGTAGAAGCTTGCATTCACAGATCACAGACAATTTCTAATAATTATTGCACACCTCACTTCACTATTTCAAAATCTCTACTCCTGTTTACTTTCTATGAGAGGAGAAGAGCCTCTTCTTTGCTTTACATATTTGTGGACTATTCTTTGAAAAGAGCAGAATTTTTAAAAAAATCTTGCGTCCATGACTTTTCCGATGAATGAACAAAGTATGACGAGAAGTCTGCAATGATACAGACTGAGACTCATGTTTCCCTGGTTCAGCCAAATAGCTGGACTAGGATTAACCAACAGGATACGTATCGATCGTACTCTAAACAAGCAGACGAAATTTTTACATTCAAAGGATTCCTTGAAAAGCTTTCATTTCTCTCCAAAATATTTGTTGGTTCCCGGAGAACCCTACACACTTTTCATTGCAGAAAAACAAGCAACTTCTATATCTCACTGCAGAAAAGCAAAAGATAATATTAGCAGGGTAGAGATATTACGTTTTTGTATCCAAACTAATCCGAGATCCATCCTGACATTGCCAAGCATTTTCTGGATACAGAGAGCTTTCCTCGAACCCAATTTTATCTATAAAAAACAATAAAATAAATGATTACCATGTGCAAAGATGATCATTAAAAAAATTGGGTCATTAACAGGACGTTGGTGACTAAAGTTGAACAATGCATGCATCAGATTACAATGATACCAGTCTCTACCTATATTCAATTTTTTTAGGGAAAATTGACAAGCAGTTTCTGATGAAGCAGCTATGAATTTTTTCCACTTATTTAAGAAAAAAAAAACCCTGCAACATGACATTGAAACGTTCTGATCATTTTTTCTTGAAGAAAGTAAAACATAATCATAGATTTCTAATCATTGTGGTTGTAGTATTATTTTTCCTCATTTAGCTTCATTTAGTTCAGTGTGTCAAAAGCAGATATTCCTGGAACGAAGGACATCTTTACCAAATGCATACAGTATAAACTTACACTTAAGGTTAATCGTTTTTCGAGCAATGAGTCCAGGGGTAGAAAATAATCAAAAGTGAAGAACTGCAAAAAAAGAAAAATACAGAGAATTACTATCTTACAAAATGATAATGCGGGAATATTTCGATCAAAAAGGGGAAGAATGGATTTCAAAGACATTCCTCCCTTTCCAGATCTTTCAATGAGAGCATTTGACTGTAATTGGAATGTAGCTGTGAAGAAGCTACACAATAAAATGGTAGAGTAAGTTGTTTCCTAGACGAAAAAATGTATCTTGATTGTGCTGTTTCGGTATTGCTTACAGAATTTTACCTTTCTACAGGAGAGCTCACATGAATTTGCGAATACCAAATTTCTGCAATGATTCTTCCATGAAAAAAATGAAATGTTTGTAGAAATACTAAAAGAGCGTAAAAGAGATGTGTTCTTTTGTACGGGAGGCAGCAAATAGAGCTGGGTCCACACTGTTTCGTGAAGACATCAGAGCCAGAAAAAACCAAAAATTAAATTCAGTATAAATATTCAAATAACGCCTGATGAGTGCTAGTGCAAGATAGAGGGAGGAAAATTAGCTCTGGCAGATACATGGAAAGATCTGAACCAGTTTGGCTCTTTCTTCAACCTGTCGGCAGATCTCACTCCATCAGAGAGCTCAGCTTAGTCTCCTGTAAAATCCTGGATGAAACTCAATAAGCATCACAGATATGACGTCAAGCAAGGCACTGAAGTGCAATCCTTGCTCCATCTGCCGTCAGTGCTAAATGACTCCCAGGACCAAACAAGGAAAGAATCTGAAAATTGATTATCGGGCTTCAATATTTAATTAGATTAGGTATAGACAATCGGTAGATAGCAAAATGAACCTTCGTTGTTCAATTCTCTTAAGATATTAGTATCATGCAACAAGATGAAAGTCAAGAGTCTGATCCATACCAGGAGCCCGAAACTTAAGTGTTACTGTCTTTAGCTATGAATGTCTACATACATCAAGAGATAAAATGACTGGTATTAAGATGAAAATATTTGAAGAGGCTTATAAAATAGCAAAACAAACACAATACCTCATTGAAGAATGGTCTGCTTGTGTTTCGCTGGGTCTGGGTCAGTCGAAATTCACTACCAATTTTGACAGAGACGTAGGAATCGGAGTGCTGCCATGCTAAGTTCTTGGCTTCGATTACATTGATAACAACAGCAAAATTCCGTGGGCGTTGCGATGGAGTTGTTATGAGATCACAAACCTCCATTCTTAGGTCCAATAAAATCCTCCTCTTACCTTAAATAGGCAGACATTCATGTGACACGGTGCAAAAATGACTTCAGGCAAAGAATCATGAAGCTCCTGAATTTGAAAAAGGAAAACTAAATATCGATTGACATTAACATCTGCAAGATAACTTCAAAATTAAGTAAGCATAGATAGATAACAAAATAAAATGAGCATAAGAGCCTCAAAATTAGTAGGCAAAGGATAAAAATTACAATGTCGTATTATATTAAATTAAAATACTTGCATTAATGGCTATTGATAATACTAAGTATTGTTGATCTATCTGGATCTTTAGGCACACGACAATGTAAACACTCACAGAAATATCACACTTCACCAATGTTGCTTCCTGCTGAGATGCGGCAAACGACAAGCAACGTACACCACGGAGTGTCACCTCTCAACTATCGTAACNAAATTAGTAGGCAAAGGATAAAAATTACAATGTCGTATTATATTAAATTAAAATACTTGCATTAATGGCTATTGATAATACTAAGTATTGTTGATCTATCTGGATCTTTAGGCACACGACAATGTAAACACTCACAGAAATATCACACTTCACATGCTTGTTGATAGTTTCAGTGGATATTATCATATGATTGAAACATATGATTCCGAGGAAATTCAGATTTCATTATTTCAAAGCATAATAAGGGAAATTTCAACTATTATCTTACCTATTCACTGGATGAGGACTTCAGATGGCTGTTATCATCTGTTCGCATAAGTTCCTCAGCTCACAGAAAATTGCATCTGACATGTTGTGAATCTGGTTCCCGTGTGTGGAGGATGCAATCTTAACGTAAGTACCGAGTGGATTGAACTGATAAAGTTAAAAATATCAAATTCTGGAAAGAAAAACGAACTCAAAATCAAACGCTAAAAACCACGAGTTTCCAACGAGGTTTTGTTTACAAACTTTAGCGGTGAACTGCTGCTGCTACCTAGCGGTAGAACTTTCAACAACTGTGACGTAAGAATTCTAGAGTGGGAGATGCTATTGGTCGTTCGCTTATCACTATTCTCCAACTCGATCCCCGCAGCCGCAGCTCACAAGTCAAGCTTTTCTAGTCCTGTGAAGTGCTGTTTTCTCTCTGCTTTTAAAAAACGTTTTGGTGAAAAATCTGAAGGGACAATGGCCCGAGACCCGGCATCAGATCAACTGAACAGCTTTAAACACTCTGTTAAGGTAACTTCTTATCTGTCGTGTCATCATTCACATAACCTCATTTTCAGCATTATGATAATATTTTTCCTTGATTACATCACACCAGGATTCTCTCAACTATTTTCATCATTTTTCCTTCCTTCCAGGACTCCCAGCTCTATACCGAAGAGCGGTTCATAAAATGTCCGTTTTCAGGTTTTCATTTTTTGTCAAAAGAGTCTACGATATCGTCAAGTAATTTCAAGTGTATAAACACATCTAGACGTTGCCCACGACCGAGACTCCGACAGTGCGTATATCTGCTGCCTTCAATTTAGTATTGAATGTAAATATACGAATCTAGATGACGTACCTAACTTCTGTTGAAATTCATAAATGCTGTGATTTATGCGACATGGTCATTGTAACTGAAACGCTAATCATCGCCTCTTCCAAGCATAAGTGCAGAAGATGTGTTGATTAATAAATAGGTGTTTATGATTTGGGTGAATATTTATTCTGTTAGCATTTGAAAGAGTAGAAGTTGATGCATTTTCGATTTTGGTGATGTACATTCAAGCGTACCTACTGCTCTGTGAAAATAATGCACAATATTTGCTAGGGGGCCGTCCAAAAATTACGTAAGGCACTTTTTCCGATTTATAGACCCCCTCCCCCTGTAAGGCACTCGTAAGGCTAGCCTGGACCCTCCTAAATAGTTATATAAGGCTGGCCAGACCCCCCCCCCTCCCTCTATTGTTTAAATGCATAATTTAATGAAAAAATGGTGTTGAAACAAATCGGTATTGTTTTAAACACTACTAATTGCTACATAACTATTCTGGGAAGCGCAAATAGTTCTCAAACATGACTGTATCTGCTTGAACTTTGATGAAGCCTTTAAAAAAGGGTAAAACTATCGAAAGCTATCGTGAACTTTAGGTTTGCCGTGTAGGCAACAAATAAGCAAGGAAGCGCAAATAACTATCTGCTTGAGAGACACCCACACATCGTCACCTTCCGGCCAAAGTATCGCAAGCGCCATGCGACGTTTAAAAATTTCCGCCGCCATTTTATTTTTTTACAGGGAAATTGTTCAACAAAGCTGTCCGAAAATTTCACTGAATTTTCTTTGCACTGCCGACTAAATTCAGTGAAATTTTCAAACAGATTCAATCAACAATTTCTCCGTAAAAAAAAATTTTCGGCGGAAATTTTGAAACGTCGCATGGCGCTTGTGATACTTTGGCCGGAAGGTAACAATATCTCCCTCCGTGCATCAACTTCAATACTGAATGCGCAACCTTTTGACAGATATTTGGAGATTTGTGGTTTGCCTTCGATGTTGCTGCATAGGCAAAAAATGTACCGGGGATTGCGAATCGGTTCGAAAAACTCAAGTATCTCGCTCGCTGACCTACGGTGCAGCAGAATTCTTCAGCTTGAAGGGCCCGATAAGATAACAGAAGTGGATTGGAAAAGGCAGTGATCCCCTGTCGGAAGCAGGGCCGGATTTAGGGGGTGGCCACATGGGCCGCGGCCCATGGCGGCAAATTTTGCAATTTTTTTAAATGTAGGTATAAAAGAAAATCGGATTCAGAAAAAAAATTCCTAACGAGAAAAGGCGACAAAATCTCTCATTTCCTGGGAGAACAGTAATTTCTAATTTTACCGTCTTTCGGTGATACAAGAGACAGCAGCTTTAATCAGTCAAGTTGAGAGAGAAACTAAACACGCATGGAGCGGCGTGGCGCAGAGAGCAATGTTGACGAGGACTTGAGATGAAAAGAAGAAGCCCTAGGTGCGGCTGTTGGCATGTAATATATATTAGCGCCTACAAGACTGAATGAATACTTCACGCATTGCGTCAAACACAGTGCGGTCAGCTCTCAGCAGCGGTCTGTCGGCGTGAAACGCATAGCGCCTACAAGACTGTAGGAATACTTCAAGCATTGCGCCAAACACAGTGCGGTCAGCGCGACGATGCGATGCGGCGGAAGTTAAACTTATTAAACCACATTTATGTTTGCTCTCACATAATTTTTTCGTTCATTTCTCATAAATCGAAGGCCTTATCCACATAGAGATAAGTTTACGGAACTTAACTTTCGCGAAAAGTTCCGTAAACTTTTGCTGATACTGATGACAGGGCTTTCGCAAATAATGTGTCCGAAACGAGTAAATGCGTCTTATACACCTCTCCCTCTCCGGCACGTTCACTTGATGGTTTTTATTGATGTTTCAAAACGAATGAGATGGGGGCGGCTCATGAGCGGCAAATAGGTAAATCCGGCCCTGGTCGGAAGTCTGAAAAATTTTCCATCCGAAGAAGTGAAAAAAAGTCTTTTGAATGTAGAGTCCAGACTCTTAACAAATTTGACAAGAAAAAATAATCTTCATTCAATCGGAATTTTGCTCGAATTGAAGGAAAAATTAAATTAAGAGCCTTGGATTTCGATTCAAGCAAAAATCCAATTGAATCAAGAGTATTTTTTCTTGTCAAGTTTTTAAGAGTGTGAACTCTAGATTCAAGAGACTTTTTTTTCCAGTGAGTGGTGTCGAGGGCATTTTCTACCAAAGACCCGTAAGCACTTTCCAGATAATAATGATTCTGTGCTCAACCCTTTCTGTCCGCGTCAGAAATATATTCTAGAAAAAAATCAAGTAGGCCCAGACAGCTCATTTTCTTGCACAATAACCTTGAATCCTGGTAACTCAGACGCAACTTTGTGAAACGCTTCTTTTGTTAGTCGAATGTTCGTATTCTTCAAGGGATTGGAGGGAGAGGTTTGCCTAAATAAAATGCTTGAACCGTCATCAGCTATTAATCAAAGTCTGTTCCTCAATATTGGGCTTGAATGATGTGATCTTTCACCCTTTAATTTAACTACGTCTGCCGATCTGCATATCATGCGTAGTTCAGCTTTGCAGCACGGATTCAAATGTTGACAAATTGTAACTTCGGAAGCTTTTATTTGCGAAAATATGTGACAAAAAAGTTCGAGAGAAATTCCATTGGGTCTTTCGTGAATTTGTCCTTCAGGAACACCCCTCGATATCAAATTAGTGATGGAATTAACATCAAAATTTGAAATTTTATCCAAAAATTTCATGTCTGACTTCTTCTATCAGCTCGTTACACTGTGCGATGTATGAATGCGATGAATGACACATTTTGGTATCACAGCAGAAAAAAAATTTAAGGCGCTCCGTCTATTTCAATGGCTAGGTCTGGATGCAACTATTCGTGTCCTGAGGATGTCTTTGTTGCATACCAAAAAATTGCAGGCACTCTGGTTTTCTCATGCACAACGTATAATAAGGCTAGGCTAAGGTTGTTAGTTCTCAAGGGTTACCTCCGTTGCATTAACAACACTGGGGGAAAAAAACACATCGGATCTAGAGTCCAGACTCCTGAAAATATTGACAAGAAAAAATACTCTTGATTCAATCAGATTTTTGCTTAAATCAAAAGGAAATCCGCTCAAATTAAGAGGCTTGGCTCTTGACTTAAGCAAAAATCCGATTGAATCAAGAGTATTTTTTCTTGTCGATGTTTTTAAGAGTCTGGACTCTAGGTCCAATGTGTTTTTTCCCCCAGTGAATCGTGTCGACTCTGAAATCTTCGAAATGGAACACTAGACAAGGCACGAATTTCAGCATTCTGATACACGTTTCGTAACTAAGATTTCACGTAGAACACGATGCGCACAAAAAAAATTATCGCAATTAACTCCTCACAAAGATAAGTATTTAATGATTCTTGATGTGTGAATTCAAACCACCCGCTCATGAAAACTCAATGCTCTACGTGATTCACATCGCGTGCTAAACATTATCATGACAGTCTCTGCGATATAAAAATCTGGCAACCTCGATCTTGACGCTTTGGCTCAGCTATAGCAAATTGCTGATAGTTTGAACAACACATGGTGGGAAATGAATATTGCTCGATCGAGAAACTGGTTGAAACCGTTGTGGTGCGCGATCTGACTCACGCAGAGCTTTGAGTTTCTTGTGAGCGGGCAGTTCAAAGTCCTCGTAACCAATGTGAAATAAAAACGTTAATATCTTCGTTAGGAGTTGGTTTCAGAAATTCTCGTTGTGCAAATCGTGTTCTGCGTGAAATTCTGGTTAAGAAACATGTATCAGAATGCTTAAATTCGTGCCTTGTCTAGTGGTCCATTTTGGCAACATTGCAGGTGCCACACACGACTCATCCGCATCGATTCCGAACATTTTATGGTAAGCACTATTGTAAATGCATCGTGGGAGACCCTCAAGATCTAACAACTGCAGTTTTTCGTTAGGGCCTTGAGCATATGGAAATCAGAGCGCCTGCACTTTTTTGCATATGCAACATGGACATTCTGAGAGCACGAAAAGTTGCATTCAGACCTAGTCATTGAAATAGACGGAGCGCCTTAATTTTTTTCCACCTGTAATAACATTTATTTCCAAATTTTTACTGTGGAGTTCTACTAGAGGCTCGTCAGTGGCGATTCTTGAAAGTTGGCAACACTGTTTTCCCTCTATTTAAGTGTCTGTAAAATAATTCGTTAGGCTGCTTGTCTCATCTAAAATCGATATTTTTAATGGATTTAAATAGATTATAAAAACACTAAACAGCGTTGCCAAATCGCCACTGGGGCTCGTAAAAATTGTTGTTTTTTATGATGCTGTGTTGAAGAGCTTAATCTCAATGTTAACTATGTAGAACCCTCCTAAAAACAGGAAGAGCTTGAGGAACGACTGTGAATTAGTGGCGAGGCGTAAATAATCGATTTTCGATACTTCCCCACTTGAAGCTATCGTAAGGAATCAAGGTGTTCGTCGCGAACTACCTGTTAATCGATTCTTTTCCATAGGTTTAAATGGTGGATCAATCGATTTATCGCAAAGCACGTCACGCCACTGCTTTGAATACGGGTCTGAGCGTGAGTAAAAGTTTTTCAAGCTCAGTTTTGCAACAGCTTCACTCTCAGTTGTTTTTTTCACTTTTCGTCGATTATCGATGCTTTATCTGAGACGTTATTGACGCA